TTTCAAAGATCAAGAATCTTGGATTTGCAAGCAACTTGACTCACCTATATCTTCAAAAAAATCAAATAACAAAGATAGAGGGACTAGACAATCTTAAAAGATTAACCAAGCTGTAAGTAATTCCTCTTTATAAGTTATTACTGTTGAGTTAGAGTGTCAACAGTAATAATCATTACACGTGTAGTAAAGTCTGTATTAAGTCAACAGCCGTAGTACCCTAATGCATGCATATAGGGTGTTTCACCTTAACTTAATAGAGACCCTGCCGGGGGGCGGGGTCCCATGTCGCTCATCTGAATTTTAAAACGTCTCGTGTCGGTGTTTATAAATGCTTGTCACTTATTGTCGGCTTTGCCGTCACTGTCGCAATTTGGCTGAGGGCAGTTGTCTCTTGTCGCGATTTCATTTTACACACTGTCGCTACTTTTTGGGCCATGTCACTTGTCAGAATTTACCCTGGCAGGGCCTCTTAATAAACCTCCTGGCCCCAGTAGTTCAAAATGTGGATAAGGCTTTCCTCTGGATAGTGATTTATCCAGTGTATTGTGCTGTCCAGCTCTTGACCTGGGGCCAGTAAGTAAGCTTACTTTTCCAAAGTATAAAGCCTGTTTCAAACCTTGTGCCACAGCTTAGATGCTGAGCTGGCTTGACTTTGGCAGGGAGGGTTGCCCCCTTTAAAGGGTAACAGTTTCGGTTACAGATAATTTATATTTGGTCATTTTAAATGTCAGGATAAATAAAAGCCTCAGAGCAGTGAGGCAGTAATCAGGGCTTTATAGCTGGGACTTGGGTTGTCCCTTGGCTAATGTAGTATAAGACACAAAAAGAAAATAGACCCAAAAGATATAATAACTATTGCATATGCCTGGTAACTTGAAATCTATGTGACTGCCTGAGAAATGTCCTGTAGATTACTGTGAATGATGGCCAGTGTTAACTTATGCAAGAGGTAGTACTCCACTGTCAGAAGTATTGTCTAAGTTATTGACTTGTTGTCTTTCCAGATACCTGGGTTCAAATGCCATCACAGTTGTGGAAGGATTAGAAAGGTTAGAGAATTTAAGAGAGCTTCACATTGAGAAACAGACTTTACCTCCTGGAGAAAAGCTCCTCTTTGAGCCACGATCACTTCAAGCTCTTGCTGTAAGTATTTTACAATGTTTGCTAAGACGGCAAACGTATATCACTGACATAATAATCATGAATCAGTTTAGTCAAGGTTAACTGTGAACAGACTGAGCTGTTAAAACTATTTGTTGAAATTAAGTGTGTGGGTGGTCTCAATATTACTGAACATTCATGGTTGGATGAATAATGATGATGATTTTGGTGGTGATGATGATGATGATAGGATAACAGGAATTTAAGAATAACAATAGACTAACATATGGTATTTTTCTTGTCTTTACAGAAAAGCCTGTGTGTGTTGAACATATCAGAGAACAACATTGATTCAATTGAAGAGTTAAAATGCCTGACAAATATGACACAGTTCTTCACAGAAAATAACTGTCTTTCAGATATGAAGGTAAATGCATGTTATTTTCTTCATCCCCTGGCTCATACTTCAATTGGCCAACTTACTCAGATCATTTAAAAGAATGGACCAAGTTTTATGTCATGAATTAATTCTGCTAAGGTCAGGGTATTGCAATTTTATTGATAATATTGTTAGTTAAATAACAATTTTTTTTTGTCTTTGACTTGAAGGAACTTTCAAGAGTGTTGGCTGCATGGCCATCAGTATGGAGGTTAGAGATGGCTGGGAATACTTTGTGTCACAAGAAAAAGTATAGAGACAGAGTCATAGTTATGTCTCGATCATTAGGTAAGTGGTTTTTAGTGACATTTGATAAAAAAAATGAAAAACTCAAGAAAAAAATCCTTAATTTTTTTTAAAAATATTGAATAACAAAAATTATTACTGTAGTGCAATGTGAAAAGACTACCAAAGTCTCTGAAAGTGGTTTTTTTGGGGGGAATTTTTACACCAGAGATCTCTTTGGTAGAAACAAATATTGGATGACTTTTCATCGATTCTATCGTACTTAATAGTTTTAAAGCTATTATTTTTATTGCAGTTTATGTGTCCTTAATGTACATTATAATGTTGTTGACTTCGTAGTAATGCTGGATGGCAAGGAAATCAATGAGACTGCAAAAAGGTTCTTAATGAACTGGAAAGCCAGCAGAGATGCGAGAAGACGTCAGAGAAGGCAACTCAACTTCCTTGAGGGGGGGACATCTACAAACTTCATCTCTGGTTCATCTAATGCCCTTACCAGTATACCCTCTTTGCCACCATTACCAGGCCCTCAAAACCCAGGATTGAATCCTGTAATTTATGAAGGAGTTGGACAAGGAGTTCTCCCCAAGGGCACAAAACCATTGGCAGCTATAGTACAAGCCAGAGCTCCAAACTCAACTCTACTTAATAGAAAACCTGTGGAAGATATATCACAATCAAGGTATGCTGTCTTCTGAATTAGAACAGTATGTAGTGTGGGTCAACCGATAAAATTAAATGCTTGCACTTCACTGTGCCAGCCACGCAGTACCTTAGTTTGTTGTATTTGTTTGTTTGTTTGTTTTTTTAATTTCTTTATCTGAATATTTACTCAACCTGTCTCAGTACGTTTTCTTGTAGTAGACTATATTGATAGTTTTCAGTTTCAAAAACTCCCTATTGAATTTACATGTATCAAAATGTTGTGCCATTTAATAGGTAACCACTGTGACTTCCTAAATAAAATTAATATTGGCATAGGCTACTACAGTACTAGTTAGACATCTAGATCTTTCATAATCTTCTTACACAACTAAATTTTTTTTGTCCTGTTCATTTTTTTAGGTTTCCCAACATCTTTGCACCTCCTCGTCCAATCATATCAGAGGGGAACTGGGAGTCAGACAGTGATATTCACAGTGGACCACCTGTGTCTCTCCAAACATAGCAAATAAATAAATAGGAAATTTTCAAATTTACTATATTATAACAGATTTTATAACAAACAGATGAAAACAAACAGATCTAGATGAATCTTCCATATAGTTTTATTGAATTTATACAATATAAGTTATACATAGTGTTAAGTTACATTGTCATCACACATTATTGTGTATTTTTATTTATAGCTATAATGTACATTTCCTATTGTAATTTAATATCTCTTTATAGTGTTATGAGCTGAGAAAAAAGCATCTGGTAAATAATAGCATTGTAAAGGCTAAACATGGGAAAATTTTATAACAAGAGAAACTAAACAAAGATGTTCATGAGTGTTGAGTATGAAAGAAAAAGAATACAGAAACAGTTTGTAAAGACCTGAAAGATCAAATTCTTACTTCACGGCTAATACTTTCAGTTTGCAGGGTGGTGCACTTTTTAAGGGAAACTTGTAAAATAAACTTCAAGTTATGCCAAAGTAATGTTCAGTGTATTGATAACTCAATTGATAATTTATTTTTTTAAAAAACAGTATATCGTAATTACACCCTAATTTAATTAACTTTGTTTGAAAACTCTTATTTACATTGCTAATGACAGAAATCCTACCCTATTTATTATTACAAAAAGTCTTTTTTGAAAAGTTACAGCAAACTGTATGCAATAGCCTGAAAATACTTGAAAAGGAATTTCTTCACATACATTGAATGACCCACTTAAAGCAACTCTTAACACCATTTTCTTATAAAATGATTAAAAAACTGATAACACACTAAAATCTGTTCGTTTTGTCTTGCTGTCCAATAAATTATTGTCTGAGGCTAGTGGAGCAAACTATCTGGCTAGTAACCTGTCAAGCATTAGACTATTCACAGTCCCCTATTTTTTCCATGAGATCATCGTGATGTAGCGTGTCTTACCGTTAATTGTGGCCATCTTGATTTTCAAATGTACCGAGGGGGCGGGTGTTGAGGATTATACATGTAGCTCTAGGGGGAGAGGGGCCCAAACCACCCCCCGCCCCCCTAAGTAGTTTTGACACTCATTCAAGATGGCAACCCGTAATGCAGAGCGGTCGATGTCGATGATCTTAAGGGAAAATAGAGGACTGTGAACAGTCTAGTCTAGTATGTACATGTGTCAGAAACAGGTTGCTAAAAGGGCATAAGTTTTATGTTTCCATCCCGCACTTACCATGATGCACTACCTACATAGAGCTATCACTTGTTTGCTCATATGGGAAGAGAATAATGGAGAGAACAGGCCACCCTGACAAAAGTTAGTATTTCTAGTTTGGCCTGTGATACTGAGTATGGGCTTAGAGGAGTGACTGCAGTAACTGAGATTTCAAGTTAGAAAAGAAGTTGCAGAAGGCTAGCTAGTGCTCTAAATGTCAGATTCTCAGAAAATTATCTATAAGGTAACATTTCAGTGGCCAGGTTACTTTATGAACTAAGTAGATCAATCAAATTTTTTGTCTATGAATCTTCTCGCCAACAAGAATGAGGTACAGTCACCCCATTAAATACAGAAACTGAGGGGGCCATAGAAAGTGCCTGTATTAATGGGGTGTCCATATTAAGAGGGTTGAATTTAGAGAAAATGTATGGGCTTTCTTTCCTCAGGGACAGCAAACTATCCATAATAATGAGGTGTAGCTGGCTGAAAATTCATACAGTGGAGCCCCGTTTTTACGGTCACTAAGGGGCCAAAAAAAATTGGCCGTATTAAAGAGGGTTTCTTTACAAAAAAATGTATAGACAATTTTGCCTGGGCAGCCAAAAAAAGTGGCTGTAATAATAAGGTGACTGTATGAATGAGGTGGCAGTAAGGCAGGGTTCTACTGTACTCTCTGCTCATATTTTGTCCTGCGTCAGTCCAAACTAAAACTCACTGACTTACTGGCCATTGGGAAAGATCCTTATAGTTCACCTAGAGAACTTATTCCAAAGCATATCTGATCGATGTGTTCCTGCCCCACAAGGGAGGTTTGCATGATGAGCCAAAAGAACGTCTGCGTGGGAGGCTACATATTTTCCAGCTCATTCCAAGTTTCTTCTAATCTCTTTCTCAACATGGCCTCCCTTGTATTTTGTTTAATTGATTCCTCCATTGCCCTGAGATATTCCACTGCGACTTGATCCAAACAACAATTCAAACCTTTTAACATATGGTTCACAGTGTTCACCTGTATAATGGCAAATAGCATAAGTTGGTACTGGATTAGCTTGTTCACTCACCCTCTATTTCAATCTCCCTTTAGAGATCCTCCAAATAAAATCTGTGAGGAATTTATTGCTTACAAAGACAAGGGGTGGGAGGGGGCAGTCCCTTAAAAAAATGTTGATATGAATAATATTTATGGTACTACTAATGACTTACCAGGAACAAATTCAGGGCTTCCACGTAACTTCATATTACGTTGTTCAAAAAACTTGAACACTGCAACAAAAAATGACAAACAGAAAAAGAAAAGACAAACAGTTACACAACAGCAGTGAAGACTATAAAGATGTTTTCAGGTTCAGCTCTAGTACCTCCCTCTGGGGCTACCCATACTTAGCAGGGGTTAATTCACACAAGTTGCCCAAACTCACTACCACTTTTCTCAAGTGCTGCAGCCAAAGTTGCAACCCTCAACCTACATGTACATGATAGAGGCAACAAATTAACTTTTACTGTGCCAAGTACCAATAGGGATCTAGCCTGCAAGCAGCTTCTGAAGTTAGGGAGTGCTGCTAGATCAGAGGTCACATGTGAGTGGCATCGGGGCTTAAAAAATTTGTCAACTCAAATTTCACTTGCCTATATAGTGCCATTGCTTGCTTTTCTTTAATTACCATATTTAGTTACAAGACACTTGCCCATTGGGCAAGAAAGCTTAAAAAAATATTACATGCCTTGAGCCAGAAAATCTACTTGTCCCAGAGAACCTAAAGGGACATTATTTTAAAGTCTAAAAGAGTAGGGGAAGTAATACATTGTGTGGTGGTCTATCTCTCATGGGGAGGGACTGTTATGGGCATGCAATAATAGCCTCTGCTGTTGCAGTGACCCTGCCAAGAATTGGCGAATCTAATAAAAACATTAAAAATAAAACTAGCTTGATGACATGGTTATCATGGATATATGATATAAAGTTGCACTCCAAAGGAAAGGAGGCCTACATAAAGCCAAAGCTTATCCAAGTTTTAGTAGCATCTTAGAGTATTTACTACTTCCCATTGTATAGGTCCATCCTAGGATAAGTATGTCACTTGTACCCATGCAAAGAGATGGCTGGAGAGTTGCAATGTGATAATGATGAAGAACCAAATCAACAAACTATGTTCAACAGAACCATACATACCAGTGTAGAAAAGCATGGGATCCTCTGGATTCATTGCAGCTTCTAAGAACTTCCTTGGTGAGGCAGAGTCCTCGGCACCAATGGCTCGAATGTAGCGTAGAGCTGGTAAAAGCTACAAAGGGGAAAAGAGTTATGTAATAAAAATGATACAAAATGAAATGGCCGGGTCAAGAAGAGAAATACGTTAAATGCAATAATTTGAAAGAAATTAATCATGAATGATGCAAGACTAACCTGTTGTTTGGACAGGAGAACTTCAATTATTTCCTCATTAGCAGTGTTAAGTCTCTGAAAAAAAAAACAACAATAATAATAACGATAAATAATCATATGGTAACTGGACTGAGTGGAGTCCAATTCAGTGTGTAATCATTCAAGAAAATCGGACAACTGTGTGCCCAGGAGTCTGATTTGCTTGAACACGCGTATGATTACAGACTGAATTGGATGACGTGAAGTTCTGTTTCCAATTAATCATAACTAACAACAAAATGTGTGATATTTTAGGCCCTTTTTAAAATCAAATCACAAGGAATTTGGCCAGTTTTGTGCTAGCAGTTAAAAAAGCTATTTAAGTGCGTATGTGCAATAGCGCATACTGTCCAAGGCAAGACGCGTAGCCCCATTACACTGTCCTATTGTTGTTGAAATCAGGACAGTTGATAGCCAATCAGATTTGAGAATTTTGTTATAGTTATGATTGTAATAATAATTTTTATTATTTAGAGGTATACTTGCTGATGCTTGCAATATAAGAATGATGACCTCATGGGTGTAAACTGGAATACAACATAAATTCTGTTTATTGGATTTTTTTATAATGCTACATGTATGAATCTTGCTAAGTATTAAGATGGGAAATGCAACAGTGTTGGAACAATAATACCTTCAGCATGTCCAAAGCCAGTTGATATGTTGGAGGGT